GTTTCCTCCCTTTCCTTCCTAAAATTGTGACAAAGCTGCAATAGTGCCACCGAAACATGTCACATTTACAAACGTTTGCCTAATTGTTTCGTATTTATATATATATATATATATAAAGGAAATATGTTGTAGTGGTTCCAACGAGAGAAAAGTATGTATATTAAAAAGAAGAGGGGTGCCGCAAACGTTTTTGGTTGTAATGTGGATTTATTGAGAAAAAATATGGCTGGACAAACCTTAATTGTTTTATGACCCTTCATGCAGAACTCTTCATTGACAATTCTAGAAAGAAAATTCGGATTGCCAACACACAAACAGAATGTCTCATATCGAGAATATTCCACATTGAACGTGAAGAAAAATTAATTATTTTTAATAATATGTAAAAATCTCCACTTTCACCTGAAGACGGTTGCGAGACCAGACCAGAAACACGTGTCGTGAAATTATGTAAAACAAAGTATAATATTTTTTCTCAATAAATCCACATTACAACCAAAAACGTTTGCGGCACCCCTCTTCTTTTTAATATATATATATATATATATATATATATATATATATATATATATATATATATATATATATATCAAGGTAAAGCTGAATAGATCACGAAAATACGGTAATAAATCATGATTTATTTCGATCAGTAAATCTCTTCAGACTGAAAATGTCAAAGGTATAAATTTACTAACCATCGTTCAAATTATCTAGACCATTTTTTTTATTTAAAAAAGACGGCAATTGATTTCCTGTTACCTTATCTTGTAATTATTCTTTATTTTAAAATTTTTGGACCAGAAAATTTTAACTATTTTTTGTAAATTTATACTATTTTTATCTTCGGCTTGATGAGACTTACTGGTCGAAATAAATCAAGATTTACTACCGTATTTTCGTGATGGGTTATGCTTTTCCTTGATGTATTTCATATTGCTCTGTAGTCTATACATTGAACTCTCTACGGATCTATATTTTTATATTTAATATTAGAAAGAACAACTTGAATTATCCTTTCCACTTACGAATTTCATATATTATCGCTCCTCTCTCTCTCTCTCTCTCTCTCTCTCTCTCTCTATATATATATATATATATATATATATATATATATATATATAATTGACATAAATTTTACTTAAATAATATTCAAATATAAAAATTTTAAATACTGTGACCTAGTAATATACATACTTATACTTCATATGGAAAAATAATTTTACT